AGACTATATCAACACGGCAGCTTTCGGATACCCAATTTTCCCAAGAGAGAAGATGGGATTGTGAACGAAATAAATAAAAAGCGAAATTTGTTGTTTAAGAATTTGAAGGAATTATGCGATTTTCGTGCAGTTCTAGTACTTCTGAAGACTATTTATATATAATGAAGACCCAAGTCCATCCCGAAAATGGTGAACTATGTCCTTATGCTTAATTTATTTATTAAAGTGTCACACAGCATAGAACATATAAATATACAAATATAAGAGGGTAAAAAGTAATGCCGCCCAGCCAGATTGGCTTATGAGACACTGTATCTCATTCGTATTCACAATCACACCTTCGTTTTTTAGTTCATTTACTGGAATTTCGAATTTCATGGAAACATAAGAAAGGCTTTTGAATTACTAATTCTTATCCGGTCAGATATTCTTGTCTATGTCGGCAAAAAAAAAAAAAAAAGAACCGATAACTTTAGTAAGGATTATAATAACGTCACTTATCAGTTAGTTAACTCCAGACTGCCGATGGATTACATAACTTTGCAAATGGATAACTTAACTTAGCAGTTCTTCAGGATCTAATTACACTAGAATAGTATCTGCTGAAAACAACGATAAGAGGCGGGATCGAATACGTTTTATGTACTAATATTAATATTTAATTAAAGTCAAGTTATGGATGATATGTAAATAAACTTCAATTTCCTTTAACCTTTACGTACATTGCCATTTGATATGTAATAGGCGTAACTAAATTAATTGTACTTTTGACAATCAACTAATTTGATTCGAATGATTATTGAAATAGCACGTGTAAGTGTGTTTAACTTGCACGTTTATTAATAAGACATTTCCAAGATACGATCAATTATCGGCTTATTTCTATCAAATATCGAATTTTATTGATGAAACAAACTCAAGTTTCCTACACTTCCTATTATTTATTCTATGTGCTCTGTGGTGAATCTATCGTCTTTAGAAGGTATTCACTAAGATATTTGTAAAACCCAATCAAAAGGATGGCTCTTTTCTATTATGTGCCCTCCAGCTTCAAGAGGTGATTTGAAATGTCAAATCAATTAATTGTATTTCCTTTATAGATTTTCGATACGTAATATTCTACAAAGAATAAACGTTATTTTCCTATGGGGGCCTTTGGTTACGGTTATATTAAAATAACATATATTAGAACTGATCCCCGTAGATCAAAGTCTAAACTACTAAAGGTTTTATTTCGTTTCATTTTAGATTAATTTCCATCTTTTCGCGTTTTTATTCTTTGGGTGTATTAAGGACATTACTATAAAAATTTAGAAATTTGGACAATCATTCTGAATTGAAAGGACGATGAACTGTAGTAAATATCTGATATCTGTGGTATGTATAAGAATGATGAGCGTA